AGCGTGTGCACAGCTGCACTTCCCGCTGCGCTGCTTTATCCCGCTCAGCCGGGCTGGGGGGTGACGCTGCTCTCCGGCAGCAGGGGCATTCTCACAGCATGAGCTTCCTTCGCTTGAACTTGGGAGTTAGTCATGTTTTTAATACTCGCAGGTTTGCGATTTAAGCAGCTCGTAAAACTCTCTGTAGTGAAAGCACTGACAGTTCCTCTAACCTTCAAGTGCAAGGGAGAGTCATGAAGTCCAAACTCCKGTCCTACACAGCCTGATAACAGAGTTATGCAACTCCAAAATGGAGTTTACAGAAAAGTTTTTTGTACTGCACAAAATTTATTCTGCAGAATTTCTATCTTCTTCCCCTGCTGCATATTTTCATGTCCCTCAGCTTAGTTTTTTTCACATGTATTGAGATCTGGCGTCACACATTTGGGTGTTGACAGGTTTGAAATCTGCAACAAACTGCAGATTCCAGCAATAAGGAAGAGAGAGAGAAAATGGCACGCTCGGAGCCACTGAAACACAAAATTGTTAAGCTATTTTTTGCATGGAGCGATGCTATCCCAGAAATAGAAAATATCTAAAGTCAGGGGCAAATTATAATCACTTCAGAACGTGACATGACTCCAGTATTTCACAAAATTCATGCAAGATCAAAGCAGTCACAGAGAATTCCTTCATGCCAGGAAGAAAATTGCTCTGGCACACTTCTTTGTGCCTGCCAAATCCTGGGCTGTTTCTACACCTTGTGACTACATCAGGCAGCAGCAGGCTCACCACGTGTTTGGCTCCGGGCAGAAATGCCTCCTCACCAGAACAGGATGTTAGAGATCATAYACAAAAGAACTTCTGAGCTGCCTTAAAACGAGTTGTGGTGAGGGAAAAATAAGGAAAATTGTACGAGAAGATACAAATAGATGTCAGAAGACATGCATGTCTGGATCTGAGCACATGTAACTGGATCMGTTAAATCCATTTGCCCTTATTCACAGTGTGTTGTTATAGTGTGGTTGCCTAATATAAGGCAATTTRCTCATCAACTCCACCTGAAATCAGATTTCTGAGACAAAAATAGTAATTYTGAGGGTAGCATTAAACTTTGTCTTGTTCCTTTTCTTCTCCATGTGACCTTTACATAACACAGAATTTAACTCCTTAACTGTACTTTTTTCTTCTCTCGTCAGAGATACATTAGAAATCCTATCTCTTCCCTTTAGCAAGCCAGTGCTTGCTCATCTGTTTAAGAGTGTGTACAGGTAAGACAGCAAAGCAGACCACAAAAACAGAGGWAGAAATGGAAGTACATAGACAGAATAAAGGAATCACAGAATTTCCAACAAAACTCAATTTTTCAGAAGGGCAATATTTGACACACTAATTAATACACAGTTTCAAAAATGGCCATACATCAGGTCCRGTCACATTCAGAAGAGTCAGTTGAGTTCACAAATCAATGATTTATTKAATGCAGCATATCCTGTTCTTTGGGATTGCTGGTGACAAATGCAGTAACTGCAGGATATACAGCATTAATACAACTGCAATACAACACAAGTTTAATTTCCCAGGTCAAAACTCAGCATAGCTGAGGACCCAAGATTTACCAAAAGGCATCCTTTTKGTGGAGGGCGAGAAGAACAAACCTGTTAATCTGCCCCTTAACATGTGCCAAATTCTCATTCCTCACTGAGGTACAAATTTGAGGTACATTTTATACCTTATTAACCATTATTGAGCCAAGCACTGTGGAGGGGCTGTGGTCTACCCTTCCCTTCTGTGTAGCTGTGTTGCACAGAGTATTTGCTAGTAGGAAGTGTACTTGGTTTGTACAAAACATTTGTGAGTAGCAAGCAGAACGCGAGCACATGGTTTCTGCCCTCACTTCCTGCTCCTCCCCATGGCCATGGGAACACAAACCACAGGACTCCACCCGGTTTCCGTAAATGCTTTCATCACCAAAGGCCCCATGATCACATATTGAGCTTTGCCTTTTCTTCACTGTTATGTGCTTCCAACACACACAAGTGCGATGCACAGTTGGTGGGTATATTCTGCTTTACAGAAATAGTCTTAAAACTTCTTGAAACAAAACCAGATTGTTTTCTCTCAGATTATCATATCACTTAGGAACAAACTTTTTACTGAAAACAAACTGGCTTTTCTATTTTAATATTTCTCTACAAAGCACAGCTGGGAAACAACTGAAGCGAAGAAAGATTTAAAAAAAAAAAAAAAAGGAATGAGAAGAACTTACTGAGTGGGATTGTAATTTGTCTCAGTAAATTTAGCTCACAAATATATCTGCATATATTTTCTACTTTTTCTTTCACTCCTAAAAATAAAGGAGCTTTTTGCCAAATGATAAGAAAAAATTATACCTATTGCAAAGCGATTTTAATAAAAATATACTTTTCTTTCATTTAATTAAGATTAGACAAGATCTAAGTGGTTTATTTMTTTATCTGTGAGCAGGAACCTAAACCCACTTTTTATTAATGTCTGTCGGTATACACAAAAGCACACACAATTTACTGTTGCATTTCCACAGGGCTTTTTCCTTGAAAATCCACATGTGATCCTGAGCCCAGGCTTAGAATAGCTTTATTATGAAGATTTTTTTTAAATGCAATACAGATTTGAAATACTGAAAATTATTATGAAATGCCAATGAAGAAGGAAATATTTCCATTACCATGCATCCCCACTTAGCCAAATTAATTTTATTAAGAGCAGCTATAATATTGACATATTTTGTATTTACATTCTACTCCTACCCATTTCTCYGGATCTTTACATGCTTTCTTTTACAATTGTATGCTATCACATATAATCCATATTTCTCACCCTGCTGAAGCTGAATGATGGAACTCACAAAATAACTGGAGAGAAAAGACCAAGATGATGGGAGCCTGATATCTTTTGCTTATGAACTGCTCTTCAGACAAACAACCAAAAGCTCACCAAAACTCTCAACTTCTTGAGAATTCTAAATTCCTGTTGTAAAAAAATGGATTCAAAAAGAAGTGTGAATGATGAAGGTAAATTTAGGCCTGCAAGTCATGCCAGGGATGACTGTAATAAGGACAATTGACAATAGCTAGCTAGAAGAACTATCTGTATGTAGGTGACAGAAATAACTCCCATCCATTTTGCATGCAAATTTGATCCTTAATTAACAGGTTTTGGAGCTAACATGGTACTACAGCAGCATATTGAAGAACTTCTCCCAGCTCAGCTAATAATTAATTTAGACTCTTTAAAAAATAAATAACTAAAAGAACGCAAGGTGTGGATTTTTTTTTTCTTTTATCTCAGTTACTATTAGTATTATTTCCTATTGAAAAAGTACTTTCCATATTCCAATTGAGAGTTAGCACTTCCTTTCCTACCCTCACATATTTAATTTAGAATTAAATAATGTTTTATCACTGTTTACAATCATTATATTATTTTAAAAGAGATCTAATATTTTGCTCATTGGGACATCGTTTTGTGTGGTAGAGAAAACAATCATTCTGAGTTCTTCCTTTGAGAATAGGGAAATTTACATCCTGAAAAAAACCCTGAATTTTCCTCTTGAGAGTGGAGAGGCAAAACACATGTGTTTCCTTGCAAATTACCATACTAATCACCTGTGCATGTGGGAAGAAAGCTAGAACTCTTCCCTCTGGARTGTACTGCCAGTGGTCTTGGAGGTGGGGAGAAGGCAAATTTTGATTCCTGCTCCMAAATTCCTGCTCACAAGAGTCCTATGAGGTAGGAGGTGTTGATTGCCTCGTGTCCCTGCTAGGGCAGAAGGAACCATATGTGCCATAGGGGCTGATCCCCATTACCATGGGAAGGAACTGATCAATCAATCCCAGCATCTCTCATCAGCCTTCAGAAGTGTTTCATGAGTATGGATTCCTCATGAGTTCAACCTCTAAGCTATGATTTAAGAGAAGCTTATCACTTCAGCCACTTATCAGAAGTGAATGGAGAGGGYTAGAATTTCACCTCACAGTTTGCTCTCCTTTGAAGAGATATTGACCCTTTGCAGTCATTTGTTCTCATTATCCTGGAAGAATCTATGCTCGAAAAGCTTTTTTACCAACAGATTCTAAAACCATMTTTTGAGTAACTTTCTAAAATACAAGCAAAGATGATCAGCTGTGCTTTTAAGGAATTTAATCAGTTCCATTAGAAACATAGGCATGTCTGACCCTTTATCTGAACAGTTTCCTTTTCCTGATAAAATGCAATAACTTCTCCTAGAAATCGAATATCTTTATGCTGACTCTGATGTTCTCAATCAGCTTTCCCAGTATTCTCAAMTGTCTGATAAAGAGAACAATTTCATTCTTCATACTTGTCCAGTTCATTTTTTAATATCATATACAAGCTATATAAGCAGGTGAAGCAATACAGTAACTATTAAAGAATATTTTTAATTAATTCCCTTTCAAAATGCAATACAATTATAAATGTTATGGATATAAAGTGATGAAAAAAAATTGGCTTTAAATTCAGCAACTAAATCAACAGRACATTTATAATGATCAAAATTAGCAACTAAAGACTAACATGAAGGATTTTATGCTAATTTCTATTATGATACTTTTTAAAACTAATTCTACTATTTTCATTACGTTGGTTTTACCTGGGTTTGCCCCAACAAATAACTCAGCTATTCATCCTGGAGGTATTTAAAAGCCATGTAGATGTGGAACTTACAGTCATGGTTTAATGGTGGACTTTGCAGTGTTATAGTTTAATGGTGGACTTTGCAGTGTCAGGTTAATGGGCTGGATTCAATCTTAAAGGTCCTCACAACCTAAATGGTTCCAGGATTTCAAAAACCTCCCAACATCACATTGCATTGAAAACAATGGACTACTAGCTTTTCACGTTGGTTTGAACTATTTCCTTACTGTTTACTGAAATCATCCTTTTGCAGTTGTAAATTACATTTTGTAAAATCTGTTTAAGAAGAAAGGAAACAAATTTTTAAAGGGACAGATTCCTATYTATGTGATTCATTGCCATTCAACCCATAGTTTATTTCAAAACCACTTTTATCAYTCCAGAGGAAATTCACACTTAGGAGCCATTCCTGCCATTCCTGTCTTAAGGCACAGATCTCAGAAAGTATGTAAGTCAACTGGAATGCTCATGTGCTGCAATTCTACAATTAGCTCAGTACTGAACTAAAATCCAGAATTTAATTAAACTAAAATTCTGAATGTAATTGTAAAATCAATGGAAAGGTTCCACTGATGTTAAAATGCACTGGTCAGCCAGGTACCATTTCTACAGTTCATGTTCTGTTGGGGAGTCAATCCAGTTTTCTGCTGTTTATTTCTCTTTGTAAATGCTACTGCTTTTTCCTAGACAGTTTCATTTATCAGAGCAACAGGCTGAGTTAAAACCACATCTATAATAGAGATTTCAAGACGAACCTTCCAACTTTCTGTTGGATTTTTGAATTTATGCCATATCATGTTTTTCTCTGTAACTATAATCAAACATAAACTTTTTTAGTTATGGAGAAACTTTACTTCTTCAAATAATACAAATTCTTCAAAAATAAACATGTTTCAAACAGTCTGAACTGTGTATTTCAGATTATGATATTAAAATTATAATAATTACAATAATTTCAAGATCTTGGATACAATAATTACATGCTGGCAGTTCCACTATGACCATCTAGATGAGCTGTAAAAAGTAAAGTTATTCTTTTGCACAAATGTTTGCAGTGCAAAGCAGGTACATCTGCAAGGGGATAACGATTTCGTTGTTCAGCAGGAGTCCAGGGTTGGAAGGGTTTTCTACCTGACATGCTTGAACAAGAAAAATAAATTTAATAGAGTGCTATAGTATTATTTTTCTAATTAAAGGGTGACAAAGAATTAACAGAATTTGCCCAGCAGGAATATTACACTGCACACAGAATGTTCCAAGCAATGCAGTAATACACAGAAAAMTAATCATTGCTCTAAAAATTGAGAATTTGCAAAGCTCTTTAACAACATTTTATTTTTTTTATGATATTACAAAACTTGAAATGCAGTTCTATTAACGGATTGAGATCAAATTATTTTATCYTCAGAAATTTATTTTGATCTGTGAAATACAACTAAGGTATTGACAAAAAAGTGTATTTCTTTAAAACCTAGGAAATGGTATTAATAATTTAGTTCACTTCTTTAACTTCGAAGAATTATGGTTTTTGTAGGAATTTGCATTAGCCTGATTTGCATTTCTACGCAAAAATGATGACATCGCAGGAATCTGAGCAAAGTAGTTTTTTGCCCGGATATGCCTTTGCTTTATTATGTCAATAAATGGAGCTTCATAAGCCTGAAAGAAAAATAAATTAAAATCCCATAAATATAAATAAAATATCTGGAAATCTATGTTTGCTTCATGTTTTAGACATTATAAATATTTTTACATGTTTTAGACATTATAAATGTCACTTTAATAAACCAAGGCAGATAGCTTATTTGTATACATACACAATGAAATATTTTGTCTTTCTATACTGCTATCTTATGACCCAGTAGTGAAAATCATTCCTTGTGAAATATTAGTCATGTTTTAAAACCAGAATAACTTTTTTTATCCATTCAAGATAATACTTACTTATTTCTTTTTTTCAGGTAAGAACATTTGTACTTACATTTGAAAATTCAGTAAGGCAATGCTTAGATATYAACATTTGCAAGGTGAAAACTAGAGGGACATTCCTTGATAAGAATCAGAGTTGTTATTTACAGTTAACCATGGCAGCAAGCATTGCAGTCAGCATTTGCATGCAGCAGTGACATTTTCCCAAATTTCTAATGATTARTAGTAGATTGGATGATCTAATAAATAACCAGAATATTTAGCTAAAAAAGCCCTTTGTTATTGCTGTAGTCATCATCATGAATAATTGCCATTAAATTAACAGCTTGAGAGGGCTTTTTTGTTTCAGTGAATGAGAARCAAGATTCAAATTGTAACTATTCAAATTCTATCTTTGCCCTATTTTCCTTATTTCACATTCGGTTTTTTTGAAACAAAGATTTGGTCATTACCAGTGAAGAAAGGTGACTCCTCACTACAGCTGGTTCACTTCTATTTTTGTTGCAGGAGCTAAAAAAAGTACCTCATGACTTTTAGGCCTGCTTACCTGTTGTGACTTAACTCCCCCATCCACTGGACCTCTGGACCTAATCAAGTTAATGGCATTTCTTTGACTATGACATCCAAACTTAGGCCATCAAAACAGAGAAGTGCTTAATCAGCCAGTCATAATGCTGGTAACAGAAACTGATGGATGCTGAGGGGCATCACTACATTCAGATTATCTGAACAGTCTTGTTGACTCACAATGAGGCAGAGGAGTCAATACTGGGATTTACAGCTTGAAACTGATTTTACCTTCTAAAGTTAATGCTCACATAAACCTGTTTGCTTGAAGACAAAATATAATGGATGGAAGAGTTCCTTTTGCCTTTAGATTTCCGTGATATATTTCATCCATAGAGTAAAACTTTCAAAGGAGCAATTAATTTGTTCTGTCAGTTTAGCTATCACATCCTCTTAAGACTTCCAAAAAGAAGGGCAATACATAACAGCTCAAGCTGAATTTTTGATGCACASATATTGTGTTAAAAATTGAATTAAGAACACCCTGAACAAAAGAACAGTAGGCAACAATGACTGCAGATCACTACTTACACAAATCAATAATCTGGAGCTGAAAGGCTTAATAATCCATTATTAACTGCAGAACAAACACAGCTCACAGGATGCTCCCATGCTTACAGAAGTAAATACTCTTAACATATGATGTTCAGTGGAGTGATATTTAACAGATTGCCATGTTTAGATATGGAATTTTGGGAGATTGGTATAAAAATACAGTTTTGATTATGACTTTAATACAATCCTAAATGTTTTTAGTTTAGAAGAGAAATTACGTTTCTATTGCTTAATTGCAAACTATAAGATTACATTGTAAAGGATACTTGGATGACATCTACGTAAGAGAGACAAATTTTATGACATCAAATGGATAAGCTCTAGACAAAGAGCCATTCTGCTATTTGATGAGAAATTTATAAGACCAGAAACTAATGAGGCCAGAGCATGTGCAAGAGCACAGGCACACATAAGTCATAGTATTTATGGCCAATCTTTAATATGCTTCTCATCCAGGCTAGCTCTTGTCTGATCTGATCTGATCTGAGGGAAGAGCACATGCAAGGCACTGTTTTTCAGTGGGTTTTCAGCATGAATAAGGCCACTTAGCTTCTTGCATTTCAGGAGGGAGAATCAGAGCAAGAAGAAAGAGTTCAGGTACACGGAATGAGCTGTACATGTTAGATGATTTCTGGATCAGTATCCCTAATACTAATAGCCACAATGAACCAATTCAAATAACAAATAGTGACATTTAAGTAGTCACAATGAGCCAATTCAAACATGGACAAGTATAACAACTAAAGTTGGCCCAACATAATTAGCCAAAGGATTCTATTAAAACATACAATAAATAATGTGAAAAATTAAGCTCATTGAATATTACCTGCTGAAGGTCAATTAGCTTAAGATGTGCATCAGCCTCTGTTTTGGTGAGGAGAATAGTGTTCCATGGAGACCACTCCTGCTGCTTATCCCACCTGACCATAACCAAATCATACAGGTCACTGCAGGCACTGAGAACTGACCGACCATTCCATATCTTCTCAATCAAGTACTGCATATCTGGAAGCTGAAATGAAAAACAGGGTTAAAAAGGAAGAAGCATGTTTCATTCTACAARTCTTGCAACCATATAAAAATCCAARTAAAGTTTTGGGTAAATAAAAATTTTCTATGCATATGCCATATGATCACTAGATTGAAGAGTATCCAGACATAMACATCTACTTTAGCATAGTTTCTGGGACATTTGATTCTTTGATCTGTCAGCTAGACTTCTTTTAGTGTMTAGCTTGCAAACCACCTTTAAAAGTACACCTCTGTTTCAAGAGCTTCTTTATGATATGGAACATCCTTTATCAAAGGAAGAAATTGTAGCTTTTAGCCTATTTCTCAACCAGTCAACAACATACACAAAATAAAGGACATACAGYCAAAGCCATTGGCTACTATTATTAACAATGTTCTTTCCAACAGTACCTGAACTAGGAAAACAATTTTACTGTCATCCTGATAATCAACTTCAGCCTTCCTGAGACTTTCTAGAATAAGTCTATACTTGTAATATGCTTCTCGTAGCCGAGCCTCATTATCAAGCTGGTAACATGAGCGACATTTGCCAATGGTGCGGGAATTTGAAGGAATGGGAAACTCAGAAGATGGTAAGTAATTTTCGCAGCTGTGACAGAAGTAAATGTTTTTATAAAGCTGTAAGGGATCTTGTGGAACCTAAAAAATAAAAGAGAAAATTTAATTTACCACAAGGTATCTTTGTATTACTTGTATGTCACTCTAACACTGTCAGAATACATTTTACATATGTTTATGCCAGTATTTTAATATGTAAAAGCTAGTAGCATTTATTTTAAAATACCCAATAAAATGTTGTGATATTTCTTAGATATGATATCAAAATTCTCWCTATTTTCTTACTGCACTTGTTAAAATCAGTTATATAAATCTGTCAGTTCATTTTTAAGCTATATGAAGATCCTAAGCATTATGTTCCAGTGCTCTTCCTGGTGCTTTTATGTATGCATATTGTCAGCCATTCTGGAAAGGTGACAACACAGAAAAAACAGGAACTAAATTTTCTGCATTTAATTTTTCATGTAGAATCTGCCCTTTATGTCAGAGATAAAACTCTGAGATTATGGGTATAAGAATTCAAAATCATCAGACCCACATGCTCAAAAATATAGGGGACGAAAATAAACTGAATTTGCTAGCAACCTCCTCATCCCCATATTCCTTCATGRGTTCTGGAAAGAATGTAATGTAGTCTGTGCAGAGGGACCAAGTCCATAACTGGATAGTTTGAGTAGTCTGATGAYAATCTTCATCTCTGCTATGGTGCATCTGCTAATAAACCTAGCATAAAAATAACTGCAAGTTGACTCTAAATCTAACATCTGCATCTAAATCTGAAAGATTCTCTACTCCTGAGACAACATGRACCACTGTGTGAGGAATCTTCTGACAGATGCAGAATAGACATTGCTACTTAAAGCAGCAACATATGATGGTGAATCATATTTTTATTTGTAATTTGCAGTCAGAAAAGAAAAACAATCACACAAAACTGACCACATGTTCTTTGCACACTGGTGCAAAGATGAGTAGCAACTGATTCTACAACACAAGTCTGGAACAGTTCTTGCTTAGGCACAAGCTCACTGGACATGACTTTGACAATGTTCTTCCTTTAAGGATGCATGGCATGCTGCCTCTTGAGCAGTGGAAAAAACACAAATTGATCTCTCAGTGTATTGGTACCCCTTTGCTATTACATTTTACTGATACCATCCCATAAGATCTACCATTTATAACTTTCAGATTTTTTATTTCAAACACAGGAGTGCCTGGACTCTGTCAATGCTACCGGCCACTCGTCAGGTTCTTATAATCACGCCTATGCCCCATGCTCCCTAATATGACTACATAAATTTGTTTGTGTAAAGCCTATGTACTTGCTACATTTTACTTCTTGAGAAACTCCCCCATCAATTCTACAGCAAAATGTAAAATAAAAAAGCTTTCAATGTTTTCCATTCCCCTTCTCTTTAATTCAATGGCCACTATGTCAGGCTGCAGAATAAGAATAATACCTTAAGTAACCTAGCAACTTCAGGGTTAAACTCTGGAATTTTAACATACTGAAGAAATAATGTACAAATTCTTTTCCTCAGTCCTTCCAAGTTGCATTCCTTCACCCCTCTTGACATAAGATCAAGTTCCCTGTTAATTAATGCCACTATTTCCTGTGTTAATTTACAGTCATGTTCCTGAAAAAAAAAAGAGAAAAAGGAAAATAAACTCCACAACAATAAAGAAGAAAACAAGCAAAATAATCCAATGCAGATATGAAAGGAAATTATGGATTCCATGCCTTTACCATTCATATCTTTGTATGTTCATGTAAGAACACATTCACAGAACCTGTTAGTGTCTCAGTGTCTCCAATAAAATAATTGTAAAGAACYACAAAAGTGAGAATGCTTACAGATTCTGTTTTAAGGGATGTGTATATATATAGCAAAACTGTGAGGAACTGTAAGCTTGAAAGCACTAAAAAATGCTTAGCAGAGGTACACAACAAGTGCAAAATTTTTAAGTCTTCAAAAGCCCAAAGAAATATTTCCCTAAGAAGCTCCCTTTGGCTATGAGATTGGAGATGTAATGTGGGTTTAAAAAAATACCACAAAAACCCCCAAAAAATCCACCACCCAAAAGGCATGGGGGACTTTGACAGTATGCCTGAAAATTAGTCACTTCAATATTTCAAATGCATGATAGAAGGTTCTGCGGAGAGAGAGATATAAGAGGTAAATGAGTTCAGTGATATCTCAGGTAAAAAAGAGTGCTAATTTACAGAAATTCACTTGTTCACTACAACARTATTGACTTGTATTAAGATGAGCAAGAATTCATAAACCAGCAGTACTCCCAATGCCATACTGACTTTAGATCAAATACTGGCACCACTAAAACAAACAGCAAGATGTTTGTTTGTTTTAATAAGAGCAGGAAGCCGCATTCTATTCTWGGCTGATGTCAAGAGCATCATCCTGAAAGGACCTTGGAACTCATTCTTTTTATATGTGAATAAACAAATAAAACTACTATGAAAAACTAAAAAAATGCAACAAGTTTCTAATTCATTGGGAACACTAGCAGCAACAGTGAGGGCAAGGTGTGAGGGGCAAAGAGAAGAAGAAAAAAAACAATATTTGCTACCCATATCCAAATCAAGAGACAGATAAGGTTCTAAACAATATTTTTAAAAAACGAGAAAAAATAAATGGTAATTGCCATGTACATTTCTGCCATGGTTCTCATAAGGTTGCTATAAGWAGTAAACTAAACTTTGTACTAAAATTGTATTATGTATTAATATACAAAGAATTCTAAAACCATGGAGTTAAAATTCTAACATGATTTGAAGAAAAATGTGCACATGACAAAGTGAAATAAAAATTTAGAGTATGTCTAAATGCAAATTAGACAATGGAATGCAAATTACACTCTCGTGCCATGTAGTACACAAGGCTCTCTTGCTGCCAGCCCATCATCATGGCACTCATCTGCCAGCAGCAGCAGCATTGCTTGTGCAACATAATTAAGTGACAGCATCTTTGGAAAGTACAGCTTCAAGCTAAACAAAACCAGAAAAATAAAACTTACCTTCACKATACATTTGAGTGCTAACAGCACAGATCTTCTCTCATCTTTTGGGATGTCCTTTGCACTAATGCTGATGTACATTTCAAGTAGTTCTTTACCACGCAGCGAGCTCTGCGTAGCCATTTCAGTGATTCTTCCATCAAATGCTTTCCATCTCCTAGGTTGTGCACACTTCAGAAACAATGTATAGAACTCTGAGCTATTAAAATCCAACCACCAGCTGAATAATTGCATTATGTTACATCACCTTTCATCACAGCAAATAAGGACCTAGTATTAATGCTTGACTAATGCAAAAGGCTAATTCTGTTCTTGATACTGATATAGCACATCTTCCACCAGAACAATTATTCAATTGCACACTTTATTTTAAGCTGCAGGTCTTGAAAATTTCGAGTTACAGGATATTAAAAGCAAATAATATTCTCCTATASGGATATGCTCTACTTCTTTGAAGTGAATTTACTGACAGTAGTGTTAGAATACATTTGCTCTGTATTTCACCTTGCAGTCATAAATCCCTTCAAACTATCAGTAAAAATCAATASGTCTGTTGACTGTGTAAAGATTGCAAATTTAAGACCTTAAAGTCTACTGCAGTAAAAAATATCTCCAGGGAACTGTTCTATTTATGCCAGTTGCAGAGACAGATAGAAGCAATACACTTTGTTAGAGATAGGGCAAGGTATGTGTTTACAGTCTATCAGATACTTCACCTGGCTTGTTTGCTAACTTAACCACATGCCAYATGCATTATGTTTCAATTATCCCTTTGTGTATCTTTAACTTGTATAGACAGTAAGAAGTATTGCCCCACTGAGTCTGAAAAGTCCAACCATTCTCTTCTTTCCAGAAGACTGGTTTTGGTTGCAAATCACACTSTTACATAAGGAGTTAGGTATCCAATTCCAATAGAAAAAGAGTTTTAAAAAGCCTCTCCCCATCATTACCTAACTCCATTTCCTTTTCCTAACTGGGAGAGGTATTTGAAACCTCATTCTGTGTATTAATTATCCTCTTTCACTATATTTGGAACTTAAGTGTTCACAAACACTCACATACTTCACCTTGCAGACTCAGTGTGAGTTAACAACAGCAACACTTCATGCAGCATTCATATGCCTAGTAGTTTTCTGGACATGAACCCCAGCACTGACACRATCAGATATGATTTGTTAGCACCACAATCAAAACAGAGTTTTCCTCACTTTTAAATAAATAAACTATAAAGCTCGGTAGGCCAAAAAGGCAAAATAATTTTTAAAAGGATATAACACTCAATTACTCACATTTAATTACATTATCAGTGGGGGTAGAACTATAATTAAAGGAGATATYGCTAATCAGAGGTTACATTTCAGAACCAAAACTAAGAAATGCAATAGAAAAAACARACATTAGTTAAAAAAAAACTGAAACAACAAACTCTTAATTCCTTAGTGAAATCTTTGAATTTCTGTAAAATTATGAGGCCATTTTCTCTCTGTCATAAATAGGGAGCATTACAGTGTATCTTCATTGTTTCACTATCTTTGTAAAATACTAGAAATTCTTTTAAAAACCAACAAGCAAACAAACAAACAAAAAACCAAAAAAACCCCACATTTTGCAAACAATAAAATTCACAGCAACTGAGAAGGCCTATCTTGGTGTCAATCCCTTGTATGTTAGACTGGGACAGACCACTGTTTTCCATGTAGTAGTTAATTCAGTACCTATATTTGATCCTCTTCAATGAAATAACTTATAATAACACAGAAAGGTCATTYGCTTATGCTAGGAAGAATCAGTGGCCAGAGTATACCATAGGAAGTAGTAAAATTAGATTATTTTCAAAAATTTGCAAACCAAATATGTACAAGCAGTCTTGGCATCCCATTCTGCAAATAACCCTCAACACAGAACAATTATGTTATTATAACTAATTCTTTGAAATTATATCTGTAACTTCTGCATTTTTTCTTACTACCTTATCATATATGGGTATGACATAAAAATATTTTAAGATGTAAAAATAATATACAGCTTTTTACTTAAAAAAGAAAGAATCACAAGTTCTTTCATTTCATGAATATTTTTTCTGTACTCCAGACTGACATCAGAAAAATGAAAACTTTGAGATCTTCTTCAGCTTGTTCCTGTCTTTTAGTCTGCTGGCAATGCTGTGGAATTTACAATAATCCTGTTATCTGTATTACTTCAGAAAGCAAGGCTACTACAACTACATTCTGCTGCCAACGCATGAAAGCAGAAAAAGTGCCCGAGGAGAGAAATACACCACCACAGACAGAGAGAAAAAGGTAAGTAAAATAAAAAACTCCAYCGGACATGTGCAGAAATAGCTCAAAGCATGAAAGGTACGAACTGAGTGATAGTTTACAATGACACAAATTTCTTTAAGGAAATACGATGGCCGTATAAAAGCTTAATCAAATACTTCCTCTTCAAAGTACAAATGCTGAAGAAGAATGAGCTCAGCCTAAAGAAGAACCCGCTAGAACTTAGTGCACACACAACTAGTAGCAACGTTTGTACGAGCACACATGCCTATGGGGTTACATGCTTGAAAGAAAGAACAAAGGTTTCCATGGAGAAGCAAGTTTCATACCACATTGGCTGTTGCAGCTTGCAACCTTCAGATGTGAAAGGTGTTATTCCAGCTTTAACTGGAAAGTGTCCTGATCAACATGACCAGCTCAATGTTCAAGAAAAACTGAATAATCCCTAATCAAGCACTCAAAACTAAATTTCATTCTGTAATTTAAAGTGCTTAAATTGCACTGTTACAGTCATAGCAAACCATCTAATTTTGAGATTTACAAAACTATATTTATATTTTTTAAAATGCAGAAATTGTTACTTTCTCTGCCTCTGAGTAAAGCTGTTATCTACATCAACAGTTTAGAACAACACTCAAAACCCTACAGCTGACATGATAAAAAACATGAAAAGTTGCACTAGTTCAGAAGCTCATTAGATTTTAAAATAAAAAGAATACAGTCTCTTTCATTAAAAACATAATTTATACATTTAAAATAGGAATAAATAAATTAGTAGTAACTGCTTCAGAAAAATGTCCACTGTTTGGAAAGACAGGACATCTGTTGCCTCTGATGTGTGTCCTGAATCTCCAAACATCAACTGTCACTGAGAATCCTTGTACTGAAGAACATTTTGCTTCTGATTCTAGATGTAAGAAAACTGTACAGCTTGTCAGAATATGTGCTGGAATTAATCTGTACAGGGCAGGACATTGGAAATAAGTCCTTAAGGGAAAAGTAACAAGAGTCAGTTAAGAGAGAAATATTATTTGTCTTGACTGTTCCAGRCTTCTTTTTCTTTGAAGGTAACAGAATAGATTGTAAGTAGTAGAAGCAAACATTAATCATAGAAATGATTCAAGGCTTGCATAATAGTCCTAATTATTTCATTTTCTGGGGTTTTTTTCATTTTTGTAAGCAGTAAAATAGAAAACAAWCACACCACAGCAATAAATGGGGTTACAGTTTCACCAACATTTCAGATAAGCAATTTGGTAATAATTAGAAATATAATAGATTTTATCAAATCACATATACAGTACAGTTCCCCTGCATCAGTAATAAAAAGAATGAAAAAAAGTCTCTTTTGGACAAAACCACCATTTTTACTTTTGAGCACTAAATAGACAATATTTAAAAACAATAATAAAAAAATATTAGATACCTAAAAACCATTTCTGTAGCAGTATTTCTTTTCAAAGTCATGTCACATACTTCAAAAAACAGCCAGAAAATAAACTATTACTTTTTTTTCTGAGGGGATGGATTGCTGGATGTCTACCTAAAAGGATAAGGGTTTTTGTATTTTACATTAAGATCCCATTGAATTTAATGCCATTTTAAATCATCTTTGTAAATGAAGAAATATGGATTTTTTTTAATAGAGTAAAGAATGAAGAACACTTGCCTTAAATATCATCCCCAAGATTATACAAGAATGAAATCTCAAGTTAAAGTGCTAATGGAACTAAAGTAGTGATTTTATAACTGAGTTCAGTATCAGATTTGAAGTTCTTCTTTAAGCATGAAAACAGAATAAATTCTTTCATTAAAGACACACAAATGATGACCAGAGGCCCATGCTCAGTTGGGAAATTAATGACAAATTTACTTTCTGAAAGAGAACATGTTTATTATATTTTTTAAAATTTATTGGTTTTRTTTTTTACAAATAACAGTCTTAATGATGCACTGGTCAACCTTCAATCAATCTGAGAGCTATGAGATTCTYRGCTTRGAAAAAGAAATTGACTGAATTGTAYTGGCATGAACAACCACATAATTTGGATAGTAAATGGACATTAATGTTAAAAGCGACAGAAGTTATTTTTGGTACTTTGCAGTTGTATTTTCTGTTCCTGTACTTTGGTATTCTTTATGATCAGCCTAATCACTGACCTTTTTCAGAAGGTGCAGTATTGCTTTTTGTTGATTCTCCACATTGGCATGCAGTCTGTGCATCTCAATGCAAGCAATGAGCTCTGTCTCTTCTTCCAGAAGTGCACAAAGTGCTGTCTTCCTTTCAGCTCCACTAAGAGTTTGGTTAATTCGTTCAGTCTCCTCCTGCAACCATACTGCATGTAAAAATATTTGGGTTATTTTTTACAAGATGCTTTCCAGTGAGATTTCTTCTTTCATATTTAAGAAACTACATAAGTGACTTTTCTTTGAATATTCACTGAAAGCCAGTTTCCATTTTAGGGAATTGACTGTTATGCCTATTTTCAATACATGCAAGATGGCCCAGAAATCAATGTAAATCATACAGATGTTCTGTGAGAGTTTGKGTGTGTACATCAATTCCAGACTGCCAAATTGTACTCCATACCCAAGGATGAGTAGGAGAAAAAGGAGCTCTATGTGAGAAAAAGCATTTAGCTCCTGTGGAAATGTGAGATGAAATGGCTGCAGCTGATTGTGGTACCACTAGTACTCAGTGCTGAGAATATTACTGCTTCTCCCTGCATAAATGAGTAAAATCTAAAGAAGCTTCATGTCCTCTAAAACCAAGATATAACTTGATTGACAGTCACATTTAGCACTCCAGGCCTTACACTGGATAATTGCAGTGGTATTACTTTTTGCCATCCAAGGCAGATGAATGTACATTAATAATTGGACAGTCACTGCTTTACTTTTCCTTTCCTCTTCTACAATATAAAGCCCCAAGTGGGAGAAAGTGGCCACAGAAGGAACAGAATGGTCAAGAGAGCAGCATAAGAATCTGACCCATAACACGCTGCCAATACACAGACRACATGGCTTTAGAGAAATCTGTTTGTAAAATCAAACTGTGTTTACTGCCTTTGCATATCCTGTAACAATTCTTGGCTTCTCTGAAGAGCCTGATCCAGTTCAAATACCTCTGGAGTTTTGTAGGGAATGTTATAAGATCCAAAACATCAACATTCCTGAATAATGCCTCAGAGTGTTGTTATCATCCCAGAACAGTTATGCAAATGCAAAAATGTAAAATAAAACAATCCAATATGTGGTGCACTGAAAAACCTGTAACATCCTGGATCAGGTAAGATTAGAGGCAGAAGGAGGGAAAGAAGGAAGGCTTATTTTCTGCCTGTGGCTTCTTATCTACAATACCTTATGTTATTTTTAAACATTTCAATTCTTTTCCTTAAGGCTCATCAAGTTGTAATATGACAGCTGTCTGAAAAGTTCTGAGAACCCAAAGATAGATATTTTAAATAAAGCAAATTCAGCAAACAAGAACATCYTATAGAATTAATTTACATGAAGCTTTATTATGCCTGAAGGGGGCAGCAACTTCTACGGTGGAGCTAACAAATATGGTAAGCAATTTTATACTTTCAGAAATGAAGAAGCTGACCTTTTGATTCCATATATACATGCAATCAAGTTAAAACACCCCTCTTAGATTATCTATAGGCAGATTATCTCTTCTACAGGCAGAGATTTTACTCATTATAATTTTTTATTCCAGTTTTTATAAAACATAATAGTTCACACTTTTCAAATAAATAATAAATGCCTATATGCAGATGTGTTGAATAAATAGCTAGATCTCATTTGCACTATATAGTCAACAGGCAAGATTTTGTACCACCAGGAACTGCCTGTACTGGCTGACCCTGTAATAGTAACCCTGTTGTGACTGAAGCAATAACTTTCACAGATCCCTGGAGAATAGTCTCATTTTATTACTGTTGCAATGATTTAGCTTGTGTAGACTGTTGGCASTATAAGAATGTAGGGGAGGGAATGCAGGTAGGGAAAACACCCCAACTTCCTAGAATCATTAAGCTCTATTAAAATGAAGGGCAYAACTGCAAATCTCCATGTAGAGAAGCAACTAGTCAACACCAGTAAACAACAACTAAACAGTGAGATTGATATCAGGCCATTATTTTTAATAAAATATTTTTTAAAAATTTCAAATACTGGGATTTGTTCTGAAGTGCCACTTTTTTTTCAGGTTGCCTAGATATGAAATTCCTGAACATGCTTAGCTGTAAGTTTTATTATTTGTGAATCCGAAGTCATTAAATTCAGCAAGAGACACTTGCATAACTGTAAGTTTCAAATCCAAAAATACTGTGAAAATCAGCACTCTTCCATAACTTGAACTGAACTTGGTTGTTTCTATTGCAAGTAAGACTCTTCACACTTMAAAAAGAAAGAAAGAAAGAAAGAAAAAARGATCATACATCTGATAGCACATTAGSCTGGAAGCATATCGGATGCCAAATACTAAGACTTCTCATAAGTGTCAAGGAAAAAAATACTATCTGAGTACCTTGGTTTTTGATTACTTAGTCAGATATACCTTTAAAAGGGCTTGATTCTTGGGAAGTAAAAAGTGAACTATCTACAATGAAAAAGGGGCAGGGGGGTTTAACAACCCCAAACAAAGCACAAATCTCAAGAAGATACCATTCCAACAGTTGCAAAGTTCAAAACAGGCAATAATTTTTACGCTTGTCACGAAGTTCAAAACAGGCAATAATTTTTACATTTGTCACGAACAGTGATATTTATAAATCATTTATTAATTCAGACAAAGCAATGAGTGCAATGCCACACAAAGTATGACAGCAGTAAAAGATAAGTGTAYAACTTGGGAATTCTTGAATCGTGATCCTAAGCTCTATGAATAACACATGCTACCAAACTTATACTCAGTTTACCACTGCAGAAATAGCTGAGATGGTTTAAGGTGAAGGATGAAGTAGGTAATCCATTAGATCAGTTCTGGTACAAGGACTACAATATCCAAACTGTCAAAGAGCTATACCACAAAACACTGTAGCCTAGATAACATAAGGGTTGTTACAAGTMACAGTATAAGCCTCTGGCTTTAAAAGAGACATGGTAAAAAACTAAAATTTGTCTTTCTGTTTGATTATATGCTGGTACAAGTCCACAGCTTTTGATTGTTTTTATTTTTCCAAAAGGACATACTCTAGGTTTTTTTTTTCAATTTGCAACATTAGTTTTCCTGTAAGGTTTTATGTCAATTATCTGCAGTCTTCACACTATTCTTCTGGAAATGTTTAGAGGTGCCTGCCTSTTTTAGACATCATCTACTCCAAGAACATGAAAAGTGTGTCTTTCAGGATGTCCTGGGGAACTCCTAAGAGATTTTTAAATTTTGACAACACAGTTTTGTGAAACACAGAATAAATTAGAAAGAAGAAAAAGCATCAGTAGATGATGACTAAGACAAAAGGAATAACTTCTGTCATATGTTGTAAAATTCTGTGCAAAAATTTAATTCATTATAAAAAAGTCTATAGCTAATGATGAATTATGGATCGTAATACTAATTTCTTCACAGAATTGTTTTCAGCATCTTAAATATAAAGTAAAAGATCAAAGTAACTCTGATCTTAAAAAAAACCCTTTTTGTTCTTCTGGCTGACCTTAACTTTAGACATAAATAAAAAAAGTTAATAAAACTGCCAAATAGCAATATTCTACAAGCCACTTATTTCCTAAAAATGTGTGCTGGTTTTGGTGGGGATAGAGATAATTTTTACTCATAGTAGCTTGTAAGGTGCTGGATGCTGATAACACAGGCATGTTTAATTATTGCTGAACAGTGCTTTCGAGCATCAAGGCTTTTTTTCTGTTTCTAGTAATACATGGAAGTAAAATAATTATTTTAAACTGAAACAAGTTCCRCTGTAAGTGGAAAAAAATAATGGAAATGTTGATAAAAACATGTAAAAAAGTAAGTTTTAAACAGACTGTACTATTTTGTTGGATATTTTAAGGATATCCCTTTAAAACTTACATTCCAAGTCATGGTACAGTAGCTCAAAGTCTTCTCTTGTTTTAGGGTTCAGTTTTTTCTCATACTCCCTTCTCAGTAGTGCTTCTCTCTCCCTTTTTTTCCGTAATTCTTCTTGTGCCTCCCATGCCAGCCTCAACCTCTTTTCTTCCAGCAGAATTTGTACTAAACGTACAGCATACCAACGACGGAAATATTTCTGTATTACTATTACCTATAYGTAATACAATACCAAAGAATCAAAAATTTCAAACAAAGCAGCAGAATATTTTGTTTTTAACTATTCTTTTCTTCAGCTCCCTAACTACATTTTCTAAGATTTGTCTTGTACTGAAACTAAATCAGTCATGTACTAGTAGTTTAAGCACTAGTAYGGTTACTCAGTTGGGTAACTGCAGGAGCTTAGTCAGTGAATACAGTGGATAAACTAGGTCCAAATAATCAAATCAAAGTATAAACTACAGTCAAATATCCATTTTTCTTTTTCAAATCTCCCCTTAAAAATGTCTTTTGCCACGCACTGTTTTTATTGTTTTCCTTATCTTACTACCAATTTACATAGTGGGAATGCAGACACATTTGCAAAATTTCTTTTAAATTTCTAGACACAAAAATCAACACAGACACAAAATCAACTGCATTTTATTTGTAAACAAAGTGAAATTACTAATGCTATTATGACAGAAACTAAAATAAAAAGAAAATTAAATCATSTACCTTCCCAAGCTGTAGCTATTGAGGACTAGGGAAATGTCCACAATATGTTAAGGGAAGATACTGCACAAGATCACCTTCTGCTGCCTGAGCTAGCATTTGCACTCCAAGCAGTTTAGTCAGATCAATAACATGAGATACCAAGAATTGTTCAGCATTGAAAGCTATCAAGCATAAAATCATACTAATACAGTCTCTAGTAATATCTTAATCTAAAACATCTCTTGAATATGTCTTCAAATAGGATTTCAATATGGACCTATACTGCACTGTGCAAATCCATCAACATGAGCCAACATCAAGCTGGTGTCTCACTACTGTACATTATAAATGATCTACAGATACATTACAGATGTCAATAAGTGCCACTAAGAACCACAGTAAAACATGTTAGTAGTCCTGAGGAAATGATTCCCCATTTGGGTTCCACTTCTACAAGATGCTTACTGTTGTCAGCTAAAGCYGACCAGTTTAAAAAGTTCTTACGGAAAACTTCTACCCAGAAAATTTCACAGATCTTGCCAACCATGTCAATACAATTACCAATACAAATTCTACTTATGCACTTGGGGAATCAAATGTTTCTCCATTTAGTTGGATTCAGACTGCCTACTTTCAGTGATCAAATTAATAACCAGAGCATTTACAAAGCACTGCCTCACCTAACACATTTTAGGGCATATTTGAGTTAGATGTGCAGTCACGGGATACATGGTTTCCAAAAAGCAATGTAATGGTATCCTCTGCACTATGAACGTGCGGAATCTGTAATCTGAATTGCATTCATGAGGCAACTCAGTGCACCAGAGAACCCCACAGACCCAATGCCTGTGTTTGAACAGCCCATTTCTACTTTAGTGTCAAAGCAGGGAGCTTGAATAGAATCCAAACAGGATCAGTTTGCCCAAGGCAACCTACCAAGTCTGATTAAAAAAAAACAACCAAACAGACAAAGAACACGAAAGTCAAAAGCTGAATCCAGACCTTCTAAATCCTAACCCAATAYTCCATCTATTTCAGGCCGTATGTTAAGCATGTAGCTTAGGTTCTTCCAAAGAGATCATGAGAATGTTGTAGGAACATGCCTGTTCTAATCCTTAATGCTCTACAGGGAAACTTAACTGTCACTGTAAGACAGAAAATAATAAATTCAGAATTCTTAATATGTTGCAAAGTATCAAATGTCATTAAATGCACATACATTCCCTGTGGCTGAAAAATTACAAAAGATGAAGATAAAAAGACATTTTACAGTTCACTTTTAAATTCAATCTTTGAACACACTGAATACTCATAAAATATTCAGATAACCTTCATAACATATTGCCTTACATACAGTTTCAAACAGATAAGGACTTACTGCTTCAAGTCTACGTTTATGGTATTCTTCTGCTGTAAAATACTTTCCAGGACTTATTAGTTTATCAGTCACGTTTGACACATAAAGGCCAATTTTAGTCATCTGTGTYGATGTTGTATTTCTTGTTTGTTGTAGCTTATTTTTGTCCACAACTGTCTGGGAAGAAAATGCAAGTTAGATAAGAAGAAAATACAGAGATTTTTTTTCTCATYACAGTAAGTGGCAAAATTAGCTATTTTTAATAAAAATCACAAGACTAATGATATTTATCCACTAAATACTTTCATTTGCACACTTACTTCAGATTTACTTCCTCTTTCCTAACAGAAATAGTGTCCTCATTCTATTCCATTTGGCAAAACCAACATTCTAAAAAGATAMTACAAAGCCTTTACCTGTGTTTCCTTAGAAAATAACTGAATTCCTTTGTCAGGTCGTTTTKTGGGTTTTGTTTGTGATCCTGCATTATGAAATTCCACTCCTGTTGACACGTTCCTAAATCCACCCAGAAAAGGTTTCTTATAGGTAGGTCTTTCAATTTTTACAACTACTTCTTGAAATGAACCYGAGTCTGTTGAAATGGAAGTTCCAAAATAGAATTATTGTTTCTTTTAGTAACATCTAGATTAAATATATATGTATCAATACATATGCAAAAACAGAATTTACCTGTTTGTACTCCAACAGTTATGACATCAGGCATGTGGTAATCCTGTTGATTGACTTTTCCAGGAAAATATCYCTGATTCTGAGACTGGACAGTTTCATCAAAATTAGGCCCAGTCGTCTCTTGAGGAGACTGCTGCTCCCAGCCCACCTCTGACCCTGATGTGCCTGCAGGTTCTGAAAGTGGAGGCTTCTCTGCTGGGTCCCCATTCTCAGTCTCTCCGACTGCTTTTCCTTGTGACRATGCACCTGAGCCTTCTGGTGCATCTTCCATTTCCTAAAGCATTGGTTGCATGCTTTTAACCCTTCTGAAAGAATAATCAGAGGATCCATTATAAACTACATCGTAGCACATTTCTTCTACCAGATTTATGGGTAACTTACTATCCTGAAATGCTTCTCCTGTATCTATTCCCAAAAAGACCTGGTGAGAACAGCATGAGATCTTTGCTTCCACCAAAGAAAGCACTTCTGGCTGGTGTTGACCAAACCTAATAGTCCAAGGCAGGTAGCCGGCACAGTTCTTTTTACCTCTCGTTCTCTGCCTATAAAACAGAACGATCGAAGGAGTCATTAGCCAGGGACAGCATACCTTTACCGTTTTCCGACTTGCCACTGAAATGACACGGCAAGCCCAAAATTCCTGARCACAAAAAGCCCCAACCAAACCCGCAGGACCCGGGACGGAGCTCCCGGCAGGAGCGGGTGATGTTATCCGCCCGGGCGGGTGTGCGGCCCCTGGCAGGGTGCACCGGGGCCGGGGGTGCGGCCCCCTTTGGCGCACGGGTGGGACCCCCGCCCCCTCCGCCCCCTCCCGCCACTTCCCCGCGGCCCCGCAGCACCTCCGGGCCCCGCGGCGCTCCGGGCGGGCGCTGCTCGCCACGGCGGTGGGGCGGTAGCCACGGCAACCGGCCCGGGCCAGCGGGGAGCGGGAGCGTGCGTACTGCGGAACGGGGCGGGCCGTGCTGACTGAAAACGCACCAGGGACGGGAAGGGCCCGGAGGAGAGGGAAAGGGAAGCGATGCCAAAGAACGAGCAGCTCCMTGGTTCCCTCCAGCCCCACAGCACCTGCAGCAGCCCTGCTGGCGGCCTGCAGTGCCCCAGTGCTGGCGCGCCGGCAGTGCCGTGCCTACTGTGACCCTCAGCAGGACGATGATGAGCTCTTACCAGCCCAGAGCGGCACGAATGTATGAAAACACCGTTATTCCTTTTAGTTCATACTACAGATAGTAGCAGAAGTTTTACTAAACCCCGAGAACTCTTGTGTATAGTGAAAGTGTGTAGTGTGTGTGTTGCCAGCCCTCGCACACCATCACTTCCGAGTTCTGTGGCAGTGCCTACCCGTGAGACGATTTGTGCCTCATGGTGCTGTTCTCCCTGGAAGGTCTGTGKTGTGAGGACTGAGGCTGCTAAGTGCAAATTAAAGACATGTAAATCAGAATGAAAACCATATGAATTTTAATTTCCTGGTTCTTAGGTGCCTTTTCTGACACAATTCCTGCAAATGTTTCAGCATGCTACAGGAAACACACAGTCAATTCACACAACTTTCAGATGTGAAATRCACAGTTCTGTGTCGCAATTCCAGGGAATCCTGAAAAAAGCATTTTAGCACACATTGAATTTGTATTGATACTCAATAACTGTATGCCATGAGCACTGTTGCCACGTTTCACAGACATTGTAAGACTCTTGAACGCGAGCCTGCTTCCCATCAAGAGGACAGAAAATTCCCATTACCACTGCTAAGACTCTTTTTTTCTAAAATCTGGATTGAACTCCCAGAATAGGATCACCACTGCTCCTATAGAAAGATACTATCATTTGTGACACTCTCTCACTATTATATAGTCAATTCAAATTAATTTTCAAGTTGCAATGATTTTTCATTATTTTTATAATAAAAYAGCATATAAACCTTGAATAATAAAATAATAATAAAAAGCAGCTTTTACTCATCACCTATTGGTTTTGGGTYCAGAACACAGCCACTCAGGATAGGTTAAGCAGCATTGATGGCAGGTTATTAATGGCAAAACCCTCACTACTTGCTGCTCTACTCTGCTGATGGAAAAACTGTTTTTCTGGTCTAACAGGTTCTGTCTCTATCAGGTCCCATCCTTGCAGATAAAGTAATTTTTCACTCACTGATGACTCAATGATGACTTCAATGAGATGACCTCAAAGTATTTTAAAAATCTAAAGTTTGTYAACTCTAAACCTTACCACATATGATAAAATCTTTTGCATCATCATGTATTTCCAACAATTAAAGGAGAAAAATCAAGCAAAATCATTAGTCAGCMTTCAGATTATGCCTTGATAGCATATGCATCTTGAAATAAATTAGGTTCTTTATTGAAGACATCGATGTGCATTTGTGAAAGCAAAATGAGAGTACGCTTCCATCAGTGAAACTGAGTTTTAAAAAGCCATATATCAAATTTCATCAGCTATGGACCAAGAAAAAAAACCTCCTCTCCCCTGGAACACAATTAATGAGCTTATTTTAAGTCACATKATAAATACATCTTTAGAAGTAGAGAAAATAACTGAACAAGAAAAGAGTTCAGCAAATGTCTCAGTTATGGAAGAGTGAAAAAGAATTCCAAGAGTTGCCACCATATTCTGGCAAATTTTTTTCTCCCCCCCACTTCAGTATTTCATGCCAGTATCATATTMAAACTTTGGGGTTTTTTWAATTTATCYTGATTCCTCTCAGGTCAGCTCAATACTTATTACCTATGCATTAATTTTCATTACTCATATGACAGCATAGGCCCTCATTAAAGTCTGTAATCTCTTAATATTTCTAATGTGAAAATAGTGTTCGTTAACTTCTGCAAAATCCTCTTCTGGAATGCCATCTAGTGGTTCTACTTAGGAAAAGACCAGCTTCTACCTTTGTCAAGGCTGAAGTCCTTCAAAACCAACCAATAAAATAAAGCATTTTTCACATTTTCTATTTTCAAAATATAAAAATTTCTATAATTATAGTAATAATGGTTGGGGGGAAAATCAGTGCTAAAGAATGCAGTGAAAATAGTTTCTGGAGTGAATACCCTTTGGAATACTGACCTTCTTCCCCAATACCAAGTGCATGAAGGATTATATAAAGCTGTAATTAATCATTCATAATAATGATGTCACAGATGAATTTATATCCTAAAAACTACAGAAAAACAGCTATGACCAAGTATGTTGTGTAATGTTAGTGCATACATAAACATTTATTAAACTGCAGGGTTTCATGATACAGCTATATTCTTGTMTTTAAACTTGCAGGAATGTTACTAAAATGATCTTGAAAAAAAATGAGTAAAGGCAAACCTGCACTGTACCCTTAGATCTAGTTTGGATATTTTAATTGGGATTTATAAGTTTAAATCTCCACACAAAAGCTTTCAAAAGAATCATAGAATGAATATCTTGAGTTCCCAGGTCACAGAATATTCTGAGATGGAAGGGATTCACAAGGATCATCAAGTCYAACACTTAAATGAATGGTCCATCCAGGGACTGAGCCCACATCCTTGGTGTTATAGGCCCATGCTTTAACCAACTGAGCTAATCTCAGTGCTCAACCATCCTSCGGATAAAAAACATTTTCCTAGTAGCAAATGTAAACCTCTCCTGAWACAGCTTCATGTTGTTCCCTGGGGACCTGTCACCAGGGACTSATCTCAGAGATGAGTCCCTGCTCTTCCCTTTGTGAGAATGAAGASCACCATGAGGTCYATCCTCMGTCTCCTCTGCTCTAGACTGAATARATCAAGTGACCTCAGCCATTCTCAAGGCACTTCACCATTTCCTTGCCCTTCTTTGGACATTCTAACAGCTTTGTATCTTTCTTGTGGTGCCCRAAACTGCCCCCAGCACTTGAGGAGAGGCTGCCCCAGYGCAGAGCAGTGTGGGACAATCCCCTCCCTTGCCTAGTTGGCGATGCTGGGCCTGATGCCTTCCAGGACAMAGTTGGCCCTCCTGGCTGCCAGGGTACTGCTGGCTCATATTCAACTTTCCATCTACCAGGACCCCCAGGTCCCTTTCTGTGGCACTGCTTTTCGGCATCTCATTTCTCAGTCTGTCTGTACATCCAGGGTTCCCCCATCCCACATGCAGAATCTGGCACTTCTCTCTCTTATCAGTGATTGCCCATCTCTCTAATTTGTCACRGTSTCTCTGCCTTTGAGGGAGCCAACAGCTCCTTCCAATTTAGTGTCATCAAACTCACTTAGCATCCCTTCCTGTCCTGCATGTAAGTTGTTAATGAAGATACTGAAGAGCACTGGGCCTAAGATGGAGCCCTGTGGGACCCCACTGGTGACCAGTAGCGAKCCTGATGTCACCTCATTTACTGCAACACTTCACACTCAAGTTGTGACTCAATAATACACCAATACAAATTTACACAAAGATTTTGTAAGATCCCAATAGTAAAGCTTTTGCCACAGGTGTTACACCAAGGATGGTAACCTACCTGCTAACAAGAAACCTGTTGCTGCCATCACTTTGAATRGTAAGTCTTCTTTCTCCCCCTCACCTCTCCAGTCTTGGGTCTTTCCAGTACCTCCCGCAAGTCAAAAAGTATTTAGTTACGTGAGCAGCAAACTCAGCCAGTTCAGGACAGGGATTCAGCTGAAACCTAAAAACACGTTATTTTTGGGAAGCATTCAATCCCTCTTTATTGCACAGCAATAAAGACCCTGGCAGTGGTAGCAAAAACACACAACCAGAAGTGGGACAAAATCATCACACTTTTCTACAACTTGGATTTTGATTTCAAGTGGCCTGTAATGTTTGTATTTTTAACATACAGATACAGATTAGAAAAATAACTCAGAGTGAGGCACAAATACCCTGTTCATATAAAATGAAAAAAAAAAGTAAATAAACCAGAAGTTGCAGACAGGTCAGAAAGAATTTTCTTGAAACCATTTTTGCAAGAAATTGGCAGCAGTCTTTAGACTTTAGACTGCKAAATATAAGTGGACAAAATATATTTTAATGAAGTAATTATATTTTAATTTAAACTGTCAGTAACAACAGAATAATAATTATATTTTTCTTTTTACTTTCAAGAGTTTATATCATTTTGAAACTTATATTGGCCATCTCCACTGGTCAGAAGGAGGTTCTTCAACYAGAGGCTCCCATGGTTTCCACTGTATCATTTTTCTTGCCAGGGACAGCTCATTTTCAGCCTGTTRATAAACACCATACACAAAGTCTTAAATTCTCTACAATTGCCAAAATATTAAATTACCYGTATTTCAGTTAATTATCTCAGTGATGTCACTATCTATCACAATCACAGACTACCACAAATTTCACCTATAAATATCAAAGGAACTTTATGTTTTGGGCATTTGTTTATAAAAAAACTGAAATCATCCCTAAACACCCAATCACCCCCAGTCTATTCAGCAAGACATTCCAATCACAACTTCATGATATTTKGGATTCTATTTTGATTATCCCCCAATATTATTCAATCTTCTTATGTCCTTTTCACTAATTTTGAGTCGGTAAGAAGCAATGTAAATATGCATGCATATCTGTAAGCATAATACATGAAACAACGATTTGTTAGGTTTTAGCATGGCCATCCCAATCACTACATAACAAATTTGTTTTCAGGGTTTTTTTTCCCCTTTTGTTTTGCAGCAAAGGAAGATATGCAAAACTCCCAATTTTCCGAACAGGAGCTGAGCCAAAGGAGCACTAAAAATCACTGCTACTTTCTTACATCATCTTAAATTTCCCCCTTACCTGTACAATGACTTCTTCTATCTGACCACTATTCAGTTTGTCCTGTAGTTTTTGCACATCAGTCTCCTATGTTCAAATACATATTAAAAAATGTTTCACTGAGAAGAAAGCCCATAAAAAGCATGAAAGCAGTAATTTAACCAGATCACACTCCAATCTTCCTCAGAACTACTGGTTTATATCATTTTAGATTATCAAAGAAATCTCACACTCACTTGTTATTGAAAAGCAAACACCACACCCTCAATGATAAACGCAAAGAATGAACGCTATTTAATGAACCCAAAGAAGTATCAGCAGATAAGGGCTTTGGTTTATACATTGGAAAAATGTCTTGTTCTTGCATTTTTATAGAATTATATGCAACTTTTCAATTATCACCTTAAACACACCAGTATTGAACAGTTTCACATAACAAAAAGTGGTTTTAAATACTGAAGAAAAGGRTTGTGCTAAGATACTACACTGGCAAGAGCACATGCATTTTTCTGTTCAAGGGTGTGTGAAAATTACTTTTCTGTGAATTTTTCACAAAAATTATGTTTGCTTCTAATTTTCACAGAACATCAGMAGGAAATTAATAATTCCTTTTCATATGCCATCAAAATATCCCAGTCAAAGACAAAAATAAACCTCAATACTTCAATTGCTTCTGAATTGGTATCTAAAAGTTACATGTGCCCCTGAAAAACAGACAGGCCCTCTGAAAATCATTTTTCTCATCCTATGGAATTTTTCCATGTGCAACATTAATTAAATAGCRTTGTACTTACCTTTTTCACCAAATCAAATCGCTCCTTTACAATCTGCTCCGTGTATTTCCTATAAGCTGCATCTTGGGGAATGTTTTGCAGGACACCAAGGATTTTTGAGTACAGTATTCGCAGGCGCTGAAATGATCACAAGATATGGTTAAAATACACTACTACAATTATTTAACTTCTTGTCCTACCAAACCTACTAATTTACTACTTATACACAAAGTATGGTATTCAATCCAGAAGTGCAAGATTAACTAATAATTAAGTCTGAGCCACTGAACTCCATCTTTGGTAAGTGAGATTTATCAGCACTGAAAAATTATCATTGTCACATTCCTCAAAGAAAAAAACAAGAAAAAAAAAAGAAAACACAAAGATATATCTTTGCAGGAAAAAAAAAAAAAAAAAAACTGAAAAATTATCATTGTCACATTCCTCAAAGAAAAAAACAAGAAAAAAAAAAGAAAACACAAAGACAGTTGCAATCTGAACACATTTGATGCAAAACGGAAAAAAAAAAACCAGTAAATGCTGTAAAGTGCTCTTAAAAAAAGAAAAAAAGAGAGACAAATTCATGTCTCACCCATCAGATACTCAAAATTTACTTGAGGAAGATACAAAGAGATTATAATGGAGGAGGTTTTGTCACTTCTCCTCATGCTGGTGCTAAGCTCTGAGTAACAAACAGACTTAAACCTGAACCTTTTATTGGTGGATTTAAATGCAGGGATAAAGGACATATTGCAGTGAAAAAATTGACACTTTTGGATTGGGTAATTGTATCTAACTGACAAGGAATGGATGTCCTATAGGAAGAGTAAGAAACAAGCAGAATACTAAAAGAAATAGAAGAAAAAACAGGAAACAAAAAGAAGACTGGCAAAGAATCTAAACTTCAAATAAAGCATTGTCCAGTTCTTTACGCTTCGCTTTAAGTCACTGAAGAAATTAAAATGCAGTAAGTTCACCCAGAAGGTGTCTGACAAGGCTGTAGACTGAGCTAGAACAGTTTCTACAAAACAGCAGTGATTTTACCAATGGTTCTCTTTAACAGCATTCTTAGGTATTGGAGTCAAAAGCATTTTTGAAACAGAATTGTTGTGTGGTAAGAAATTTCAAGGTGGGTAACTTTAAAAATTACTAAAGCTCTTTCAAAGCTAATGAATCCTGAATAATCATGATGTGGCAAACATGCTTACATTACTGACCCTGAAGAGGTAAAAAGGAAGCCACATATTGCTACAAGAACCACCTAATGCAGTTCCCAAGTACCACTGAAGTATCCCAATCTCAACATGCTTGCCATCACAAGGCCTCRAAGTGGCTTTGCACTACATGGTTAGCCTCTATCATCTAAGACTGTTGTTGGGTACACAACACAGCAAAGCAACAAAAATCTTTTTGCCTGTGAAGTAGGAATCATATTGGTTCATAAAAGCACTTACACAAGAGAGGTTTTTGAAATCAGCACATGCCACAAAAAAGTACATGTGTGAAACAACTTATAATGACATGCGTTGAACCTTTATCACACAATATTGTTTCATTAAGCTGCACCAGATTAAGGTACACAGCACACCTACACATGCAAACCCATAAAAAAACCTTAGATCTCACTGCCAGTTTCCATTAACTACAGAATAAGATACATGACATACCTCATGAGGGTTCTCAGCTACAGCCAATCCTACAAGTCCAGTGGTCTGCAGAGAGCATAAACATACTTGACCAAAGCATCCATTTTCACATTAATTGTTTTGTTTTGACTCAAAATACATCTAACAGGGATGATTCTGTGACAACAGTCCTGCCTCTGGCCATATGCCTTTGATCCCAGAGTCCCAATGCTCTGGCCAGAGGGAGCAGCTCACCTTATCAGAATCAYAGAATATTCTGAGCTGAATGGGACCCACCCGGATCACTAAATCCAACTCCTGCCCTGCACAGCACCATCCAGAAGAATCACACTAYGTGTCCCAAAGCAGGGTCCTAACGCTTCTTGAGCTATGGCTGGTGTTGKGACCACTTCCCTGGGGAGCCTGTTCTAGAGCCCAACCACATTTTGGGTGATGAACCTTTTTGTAATATCCAACCTAAACCTCCCCTGACACAACTTCAGGCCATTCCCTCAGGTCCTGTCACTGGTCACCACAGACATCAGTGYCTGGCCCCTTCTCTTCCCCTAACGAGAAAGTTGTAAATTAAAATGCGGTCTCCCCTCAGTCCCTTCTCCGGGCTGAATGACCAAGTGACCTCAGCCAATCCTCACAGGGCTTCCCCTCAAGCTCTTCACCATCCTCGCTGCCCTCCTTCGGATGCCCTCTAATGGCTTAGTTTCTTTCTTATATCGCGGTGACGGAAACTGGACACAAACTGCACACTCAAGGTGAGGGCGCCCCAGTGCAGATCACAGCGGGACAATCCCTGCCTTCGATCAGCTGGCGATGCTGTGGTGATGCCCACCCAGGGACTGCTGGTGTAGCTCCGGCGCCCCCGCCTCCTGCCGCCCACACCGCGGGCCTGTCACCCCCGGGGGCCGGGCAGAGTACGCGGGCCCTGCGCTGCCCTCGGCTCTTCCCTCGCTCTCACCCCGCGGCTCGGRCACCCCCTACCCTCTCCCCAGACAGGACGATCCCAGCAGGACGCTCCAGGCCCTTGGCAGCGCCTCACCTTCCGGAGCGGCCCCGCCATGGCCGCGCTCGCGGCGCCCGCAGAGGACGCAGCGGAGGGCGCGCGGCTGCGCATGCGCCACAGCGGCCGCGGCCGGCGGGGCGGGGCGGGAACAASGCGCGTGCGCCATGGGCGCTGAGGGGGGCCGGCGGCACGGAGTGGTGATTCTGCGGTAATGCATCGATTGCTAAAGAAAAAAGCGCCCCAAAACAGAAAGAGACAGAAAATAGGAAATACAAGACTGAATTATGGGCCTTGGGGTTATGAYAGTGGGACAACAGAGCAATGAAAACACAGTTAAAATATTGGTAGAGGCGAACGTGATGTTTATTTCAAAATCCGGTTGGTCTCTCTATTAAATCTTAYGCTTAGTTGCTAACTTAAAAGGTGSGTTTTGTGTAGTGAKTAATAGTTTATAGTAATTGTGTTGTAAGTTTGTATCTTATTCTGAACAAGGTTTTCTTTATAATTGCTTTGCCCTGCTCTTGAGCTCCTCTTTTCCTTAACTGGTAATCAAACTCAACAAACTGAGTTTCAGAATACTGTTGAGTTCTCCCTGGAAGCCAGTCCTTCGATAWAACATGCACTTTCACCAACCTGCAACTAAAGCAAAGTGGTTAATGCAGTTTATATGAGAATTCAGGGCTTCCCCACTTACGTGTTCTTTGCAATCGCATTGGAAAGACCTGGCGTTTCTTTCCAAGGTACTGAAACTCTCTTTCCAAAATGGCAATCTTTAAAAGTTTGTGCCTTTTTTTATTGGAACACTCCTCTCTGATGGTCCAACCAAATGGTCTGTCTCCTGGTCACTCTAACAGACCTCAGTACAAATTGTTCTGTGCCAGGCGATCTTTTAACACAATTAACTTATTCAAGCAGTAGCTCTGACTGTTTAGCCAGCCTAAGCATGTACGTGTGTCCTTTCCACATCCTAACAAAGGGTGAAAAACAGTAGGCCTTGTTCCTGAAAATGCTAAAGTGATACTGTGGGAAGTTCTCCAGATGGTCAAACCCTGTTCCAATAGAGGATTTGTTTTAAAACATAGCTAAGCCCAGACCTAAGAAGTATTGTCAGTGTGTAGTCGTCAAGTACCTGATTGTGAAAACAAAAAAAAAACAAACAAACAAAAAAAAACCCCAAAAAGCCAAAACCAAACAAACAACAAAACAAAAAAACAAAAAAAAAGAAAAAAAACAAACCCAAAAAAACACCAAACCCTAAACCACCCACATGGCATTTCACAGTTTATTTATTATCTGGTTTACACTAGGGATTCTGTTAGCAGTATTATCCTGTGTGTTAATATTCAGTATGTAGGCACCCTACATCAATGCTTTGCTCCTCGTCCCATGTTTGTCWCAGCAATGAATTTATCTCATTCTATTTTTTCTGTAATTGCCATATTGCTTTGGTATCTGAACAAAAGTCTTATTTACTCTGCATGGAACATAATTGATATATATAGTAGTATAGTTATTGTGTAAGAGTGGAAACAGGTACTTTATGCAAAATGCAGAATGTTATTAAAAATACCTGAAAATCAATGTCATGTTTGTAATGTGGATATGTACTAGTTCTGATGATGTCCTGRTTGTGTAAAGGAAATGAAAGAACTTAAATAATTAAAGCATTCATGTTCTTTATATATATTATAAATATGTATTTTTTTATTTTTAATTAGACAGTATATTTCTGTTCATATAATCTCTTAGCTAACCACAGAGCAGGATCTCAGCATTGTTTCTGTCTGCTTCTGTTATACTGGGTTCTTTTAGGGGCATGCCACTTTTAGCTAAGTTGCACAGGCAAAAGAAGTTACAGTGAATATTATTTATCATCATTAAATGTTTTTGTTGACCTTATGTTCAAAGATTGTAATGCATTATGATTCTATAAATGCAAATGAGGGAGGGTCATGTGAGAGTTTACATTGTAAAATTTCATTTCATTAGGACARTTAAAGAGAAGTTGGAAGTTTGGGRTTTTTTTTTTCCATTTTGTTRTGTACCTTTATTTTCTGWTCATTATGTTAAAGCTGGTAACTAWTTGGTTAATACCAGAATAAGAGGTTTTGAATCAGTGGTGTTTCCAGCTGTTTCCTCATCCCATGCCTTGGTTTCACTTGCTAGGTACTGCTGTTCTTGGTGTTACTGTGGGGTTATTCTGTTTTTGCATCACTGCTGTCTGGTGCCATGCCTCCTGCTCTCTTGTCCAGTTTCAATTATTAAGCTAATTAAATAAATACTGTAATTGTCTATCATTGAATCTTTAAAGCTTTCCATCATGTCAGCCTCAGAAGGAGAGATGAGTGTTTGGTGATGTGATATGGTGGGACCTGCAGCTAGTTAAAGGTTAAATCTTCTCAGATTTGTTGTGATTTATGTAAATATGCTCCCAGAGTTTGTTAACATAGCCCTTGAAAATAATTGGCAAATAATTAATTTTCTTAATGGGAGTTGTTGAACCAATGGGGGCACAGATAATCTTCTTATGCCTCCCAGACCTCGTGTAACATTTGATGAGATTTTAGAGAAGTCATGTGTAATACTTTCCTGTGGGTCCACTCTGCTTATGTTACAGTTGTACAAGGTCAGGCCTTAATTTATCTAGCAACTGTGTATTTAATTTTAGAAGTATCACAGGACACCTCAGCTTGCAGGGCACCATTCCTGGCTGTTCAAAATGCAGGCCCCAGAGTAACAGTGGCGAGATAATGGGTTGAAATGGTGAGACTGTGCTATGCTCCCCAGTTAGACTAACAGAGAAATAGTTTAAAAATATAATATTTAAGAGACTGAGTCCAAATTTAGATTGCTGTCTATTATTTTATTGCTATGAATAACCTCTGTGCATGCCTAAGGGCTTTCTATTTATACAGCTAAGATTGTCTAGTTTATTTTAAGGATAAGAAATTAGAATAACATTAACTCTCAAATAACTTCATGTGTTTAAAAGTGATGAATACTTGATACACTTCTTGCCAGAGGAAAATGCAACTTCCATGATTAGCAAGTAGTTCATATTTTTCTAATAAAAACCTGGTAATTTAGAGAGAAAAACTTTTTTTCTTTTTTAAGGAAAACATCAAGAAGTAATATCTGACTTTTCAGTCATGGATATAAAAAGTCATGGATATAAAAAAATAATCAGAAAAATATCAGGCTACTCGTAATGTTGTTTAAGGAATTTTCTTTGTAATGCAAAAAAATAAAACTCATTTCCAGTAAGCATTTCCAGTTGTTTCCAGTGATCTAATGTGTGGATTTGGCAATTGAGAAACTGCCCAGGGTGAAGGGGAGGAGGTTTTCCTGCTGAGTTTTTAGCCTTTTCATTRCCACACCACGTCATGTAGCAGGGGTGTTTCTGTTGTACACTGTTTTCTCAGTGTACCAGCCATGCTGTTATGTTCCCTGTGATCCCTGTGGATCCATGCTTTGGTCAGATCTTGTCACCTCAGCACAGTGTATTAGCAGCAGTGATATAGCAAATCAGGCTCTCGAAGCGTGTGTAAACCCTTGGCAGTGTGTCCAGCACTTGTGCTGTGGGGAGCTGTTTGCCCTATCCTTACTCTACCCTGTCACAGTCACCTGCTACCTTACCAACTTTCTCATCATATATGAATTTTTGTGGGATAAGATAATTTGAAAACAGTACACACATTAATTCTGAAACACTGGGCATCTGAGACCTTTCTGCTTAGRTTCGTGTTTGAAAAGAGCTTTATGATGCCTGTGCATAATCAGTCAGGGGAGTATAGCAAAGCAGGGGAAAGCTGACCATGTGGGTGTGGAAACTACATGACCAGAGAAAATGTTCTGTGATGGCCTCTAAACTGATTTATTCCTCTGATATTTTGGAGAGAAAAGAGTGGTAGAAAGGCAATACATTTTATGAAAATAAAATAATTTTATTACTAAACAACTCTCTTGCTTAATGTTCTTAAGTCTGAAAACYTAAGATGTTGGGAAGATATTGATCATCTCACAGGACTAGACAGTATGTGAACAGTGTTAAAAAGATTCTGTAATACACTAAATCAGACTTTTTTTTCAGAAAGTTTGTAATGTGAGGGTCTTATCTAAGGCCTGCTTAAATCTTCAGGTACCTTTTTTGGTTCATGCTCTGGGGTAAATGTAATATGGTGGGCTGTATTATAAAAATTCTCCTAAGGACAGCAACTTCAGTAAGGCTTGAAGGGCATGAAGGTCCATATATGTGAATCCAATAGGGTGATCATGATTCATCAAAAAAAAAATTATCAATGGCATGAAGTCTTCAAACAGAGATTTCAAAAAGGTTTTCAAACAGAGGTTTCAAAATGAAAGGTGTGAAGAAAGGGAAGTTACCTTCCCTTCCCAGTGTTAAAACTGTTGTGAAGGAAATGAGATTTGATCATTACAATTTTTTCCTAAAGGAACTTAGGTAAGTTAACTGTTCCAGTTTCACTAGGAATACCTCTTAMTTGCCAGTGAAATATTAATGTATCCTAAAATGTACTTTCCTTTTAGCTGATGGCAGGCTGAGTTTGTAGTTGTGTTCATTGATATTTACTTCTTAAACCCCTAGTAATGGAGAGATTTTATCATTGCTCTTTAAAGGGTTTGTGAGTGTTCATAACAAGAATATATTTGTGGGTTAAATAATTGAAGCTTTAATGTGCCATCAGAATTAAAGAAATATTTATAAAAATGAGAGGAAAAATTCATATATATACTCATTTATAAAAATGAGAGGAAAAAGGACCTTGCCTCAGAATTCTCCTGCCTGTCAGTGGAGTGCATTGCCCACAGGAGATGAGAGAGCGTGGCACCTGTGTCTGCATTGGGATGACCATTTCATCAGTCTAACTTACATTTTAAATCTTCTTTTGGGCTTTTGGGCTGAAGCCTTGACTAGGGACAAAATAGGAAGGAGCAGAGGACCTTCAGAAAAGCTTGTCCTTTATGAACAAAGTAAAGAGCTGTTCTTGTAAACCCCAAATTTTGTGGGGTGTGATGAAAATGTGAATATTCTTTTATTATTCTTTGACTCCTTTTTTTTTTTTTGTTTTCAGAGACGGCACTCAAGATCGAAGTTGTATAT